GGGTAAAAGATCGTTAATAGATGTCGTCCAAGTTCATCAAGTGTTTATTAATTACATGTTTTGAACACACAGAGTATTTACTGTCAATTACGAGAAAAAAAAAGAAGCTTTTAATAGGCTCGAGTAAAAGTATGTATATATAATTTTGAAATAACAATCATCGTTCGAATAATTATGTGCTGATTAAGATGTAAATATAGTTTTTTTGAAAAGAGATTATCTATGCGGGAGAGATCACGTTCATTTCTAATAATCCGACATCTGTTGAGTAGATTTATGGAAGTATAGGTTAACATCACCTAGCCGTAAGATTGATTAATCATAAACAATAAATCAAAGAGCTCTTTTGTTATCTTTTATTGGCAAAGAACTTTGATCCAAGTATTTCTCACTAACTTTCATCTCCGCCGATCAACAAATGATTGATTATAAATAGATATTCTGAGAATAATGTTCAACAAAATCTAAGAATATCGATCGAACCATGGAACATTCTGCTGATTTTCATGAAATTCCATCATAATTATACATCGTAACATTACTAGATGTTGGTTAATCAAAACATGCGAGAATTATTTGACATAGATTTCCTATACGAATGAAAATATTGTAACCGACATGATACTAAGTAAAAGTCAAAACAAATAAACATTGGTTCGATTCGAAGAATGGTTTTTCGGCATGATGATCTTCCATTTCTCATTTGTTAATCGAAGAAGTGACATGTTGAATGCTGTTTTCGTTGATAAATTTATAGGTGTGAATTGAAGGTGAAGATTCAATTATGTTTATAACCAAAAAGAAAAAGCAAAACAATCAATAAGAAAAGCAAAGAAGAAATACATGAAAAGAGAATTTTTTATATGACAATCAGTTGTATGTCGGTCGTTGTTCATTCTCTTCAAAAAGAGGAACACTCTTCGCCGAGGACATTTTTTTGTCGAATAATTGATTTTTACTCGAATCTTTTAAATTATTATTTACAGTCGAAGAGTAACGATAGTTTTTCAGAAGATGTATCGATGAACGGGAGGATTTGCTATTCGAGAGGAAAAAACTTGGGTTACGATTCGAGGTTAATATCCTCGTGGCACCACCTTGATTATCAAAACTAGGTGATAATGGTTGACATAATAGAAAATGTTGACCGACTTGTCGAAATTTTCGATCAAAGAATGCGTAGAGTATGAATGTCGATGATGCGTTGATGACAGAGAGAAGATTATTTATAGCGAGATATTGTCTTGCGCGTAAATTAGCCATTAAACTCGGACCGATCCATGCGTAGAGCACGTTGAAAACAAAGTACGGTAATTGTGTGGCGAGAAAAACAAAAACAATTGATAATAGAAGGAAATTAATCGCATTCGATGAACGGTTCTGCTTCGATGATGTTCCTAGTAAACGTTTACGTTGGCGAACTGTGTAGAGCTTTTTGATAATCATGGTTTTACATATAATAATTGTCGATAATGGAATAAGGAAAACAAACACAAAGTAAAGATATTTACGCATTAGTGCTCGAAATAAAGGATTCATACCTATCTTGGACATAGTTATAATTTTCGTGTTATTTCGTACAACGAGAGTAAATTCAAACCAAAATGGCACGCAGTATATAATACAAAAGACGGAGACACCAAGAACAACAAACATCGCATGTCGTGGACTACGCCATTTCTGGCCTCGAAATGGGAAGCAGATGAGGATAAAACGATCAACAGCAACAGTCGCTGTCAAGTAGATTTGAATCAATAAACACGTTAAATGTATAGGAAAAATTGTTGTGAATATGTGTCGATAGAATGTCTCAGCATGAAATGTTGAACGAATACCGTGAGTTAATAAAAATCCAATAAGAACACACGATGATGCGCATGATAATGCAAAGATATAGATATTCGTCGTTGACGTACGCATCACACGGCTGGATAATATCACACATGTTAATGCATTGCCTAATAAGCCGCATATACATACGATTGATAACAAATACCCTTCTACAATGCGCTTGAATTCTACAAGACGTTGTTCAGACAGAGGGGATGTCGACGATGTCGACGAAATGTTCATGATTATTGAAAGTGCTTTCCAATTAAACAAGTCTACTCTTTCTTGTTTGCGTTTGCCACTTGCGAAAGCAGACTAAAAGACATGAAAAGGTTTTTATAGCCTGTGCGCTCCTATCGCCGATCTGATTAACAATTGATGGTAAATAAATATACACAAACTGGAAATTTAAACTCGCTTTGCAGTTTACTTTTCTCTCGGCAGTTCGCTACTCAAATCTAATTCAAGGAAAGAACAAAGGAAAAACTTTGATTGACATAAACATGAATAGTAAACTTAATCGCAAGCTAATTCGTATATTTTTGTATGCATCGGAACGATGGGAATATGTAACAAGTAACGATTCATGTTCGACTGGTTATCTTTCGTTTTACTTGTCCACATGTGTTTTTTTTCTTTTATATTGAATATATTAATGAAAACTAGTGACATAGAAGCAAAATAACAAGGTCGGTTTCTTTCTCGTTTTCTTCATACTAGTCACTATCATTAGTTCGTTCTGTAAAGTATTGACTCGAGATGACACATATAATCTTCTTAAGACGACTGATCTGTAACTATTTCATACATGACAATTAGAAGAATACTCTCACGCGATAAAACTTTAGAGTTGATACGTACGTGTATACAACAACACAGGAAATATTAATCGAAGAAGAAAATGAGACTAATATAGACGTATACTGATGTATAGTGCACTTTCACTCTATCCTATTACTTTGTGCGATAAAATGCAGCTGCTTAGAAGAATATCATTACCCGATCTTGATGAGAATCGTGCTTGGCGCAGATTACTTGAACTATCTATGTTTCGATTATTATTATACCTAAATTAGTCATTCTAACTGACATTGATCTGATGTTCGTTAGACAAGGATCAAATGTCAACACAATGCAAATAAAGGAAACACTGAATATCCTATAGCTACGAACTTCCTTTCTAAGTATCCATGTCATATATATATATATATATATAGAAACGTATGTCCTCTAAAGATAAACGAAAAAAACCTTGTTATTACTATTCTAACAAGCATCCAGTTCCTTAACAATGTCATCAACCGTTTTACAAACTTGCATCCAGCAAGACCAACGATTGGGCATTGAATAAGTAATCTAATTGTCTGTTGATCAAAGTCTCTCAGGTTCTCGTAAATCCGTATAGGAATCTATTCTACCGACCGGAAATGCCACACGCTCATCGGTACCATTAGACTCCTACATGCAAGCTCTTCTTTTTCCTTTTTTTTTTATTACTTTCCAACAACCGAAATGAATATCTCTAGTCGCTAGTCATAGACGAACAAGAAACAGACAGAAGGAAAACTCGCGTAAGAAAGAAAGAAGCGCATGAGAGAGAAAACGAGAAAAGAAGAGAGAGAGAGAGAAAGAGAAAGATATGGAGATAGCAAAAGTTCTATTTATATTACTATCCGAGCAAACTAAATGTTGACGTCGACGTTTTTCTTGACGATTGATTGTGATTTAGCCTACTTTAGTTCAGTCAATATATAAATATGCGCACAGTTATGTCAAGATCAGTTAGATTGCCTCAAGCTTGAAAATCGAACTGATTTCCTGGAAGATGTTCAAGTGTTTGATAGAATTAATAAAAAAAATGCATGAAGTACTCACATCCAAAGCGCCTGTTTGTTGATAAAAGAAAAAGTCACAAAGAAATTTCTTTCATGCTTGTCCATAATTTCTCGAACAGATAGACGATCGCAGCAAATCTCCATACTCACGAAACAAAGAACTCTCTTTCTGTATGAATTGCGATCAATGAAATGATTTTCTTCTGTAATTATCTTCAGTACTGTTATCTTTCTCAAACTTATCTCTCAACAGAACGTATCACATTTCCATCAACACATTCATCTGAATAGCCTTTCAGTTTATGTTGATATTACTGTATGTGTATCTCAATTATCATTGTCTTGTCAACAATAGAATTAATCAACTTACTATGATTGACAAGAAACATTACTTGAAATGTATCGTAAAGATGCAGTTATGAAGGAAAATGTTTATCCAAGATAGATCGCACACAGAGCCGATTCTTTTCATATGCTCTTCAATTTTCTTCGAGCGATTCGAGATTAGACAACGAACACATCGAGTAAATACACTATGCTTGTCTTCTTTTCTGCTCATTTTCAGAAAATATGCATATAATAAATGATCATCAATTGATTCGATTTGTATGTTGCCATTATACAACGAAAACAAATCTTCTTTTTCTATATTTGATCACAACGCTTTCCCGTTTTCTTCATATCGCTTTATTCTTTCGTTTATTTTATGTCTATTTTATCATTAATATGTGATACTCGACAGTTTCTATAAATCGAGCAGAGAAAGAAATCATTCGTCATCGTCATTAATATCACAAGATCAAATATATAGAAGTACGCCAAGAGAAAACGTACGTTTCATATACAATTGGCTTGATCGAACAAGGAAAATCTATGTCTACGTGCAAGTCGATGGATGGCAAAAGTTGCTTTTTGATCAAGTATGGTTATCAAAAAGAAAGAATCAGATATGTACTTAACGAGGTTGTGCGTGCTTAAAGTATTACACATAATTCAGCAATTTTCTCACCGAAGACTGCAGCTAAGAAGATAAAAAGAAGACGAGCGAGCTGTGAGTCGTAATAATTGGTTTTTCTTTAATAATCAATCTCACTTATCGACACATACAAGTAACTAATCAAAAAGAAAAAAAGAGAGAGAAACGAGTCGTATGTTCACAGAAAAAGAAACGCAAGACTAATGTACAAGACGAAAATAGTGAAAGAAAAAAAAAAGGACATATGTATCACCACGTAAAAAAAGACAAGAAACAGAAAAATAGATAAGAAGAACACATGCACGTTTGACGTGTATTTCCATTTTTGAGCATTGTATCCATCATTTGCTATTGATTTTTCATCGTCTAGAAGAGATCAAACAGAATGAGTGAAGAACGTGATTGTTTACTTGTCAGATTTATTTCATTATTTCGAACAATAGATCATCAACAAAAATATACAGCGTCTCATGTGTTTATATTTAGAAGCTAATTCAATAAATCAACGCATTGCAGACAATCATTGAAGCACACAAGGACCGAAAAAGGTCTCGTTCACTAAATTTGTCCGATCAATTTTTAGACTTTCGGAATACATTGGGGAATTTCACCAATGAATATCTCTTTTGATTGTCTAATACTGATGTCAATAAAAATAATCATAAATTTAGAAGAATAATGTCTCGCGATTCGATTTATTAAACGTGACAGTTTTACATCATCTTTGATCTACTCAAAGTACTTTATTTTGGCAGAAAAACAGGAAAAGAGATCTCTATAGAAAATGTTTCATTCTTCAAAAGATATATTCTCGAGAGAGTCTAATAATAATATTTTACCCTGGAGAGATTTCTCATAATTTCATAGTTCAACGTCGCTCGACATCTTTGCGTCAATCTAATAGTCATCTAACTATATCTCTTTTTCGGGAAAAGACTTTCCTTCCGTTTAGACTTTAAACACTCGAAAAGTGTTCAATTTTCTTCGATAAACACGTCGTATTCAGCATCTACGAATTCTAATTCATTAGAGTATTATTTACTTGAGCACCTCAAGTCAGCTTGTTGGAAATCTTCCTGACAAGACTTCCCTGTTAGACCTATTGCGATCATTTTAGTTAAAAATAGAAAGTCAGCTGGAGAGAGAGAGCATGTAAAAACGTAACCTATTTTAAACAGGAACTAACTTGGAATGATAATTATGATTATATGTTTGATAACAAAACGAACAGATGTCCAGATGAAATCAATCAACTATATCAAAGGGAGATATTCACAAGATTCCGACTATCTACAGATGGAATATGCAAAAACTCGGTTATATTTGATTATCGCGACGGAAAGATTCAGATAGAAAATACAGATGGACATTCTTTTCCAGCGATATTTAAGCTTGATTTCCATACAATTTTCTAGTAACTACAAAGACGAAAGAAATGCCAGTCTCATAAATATTCATCAGATATAAACAAATGAATTAGATTTGTCAATTCTTATATGGATAGATTGTTCGATAATTAAGCTGAGAAACAATGTCTATAACGGCAAATGTTTACCTTTCGAGAACTCCTAAGATGTAGTTCCATCCATGATTATTATCCCAAAATTCACGACACATCGCTTGTAAACAAACGGCGAAATAGATCTGTTTTGGTACTTCATTGGCATCTTTGTATTTTCCTAGACGTATTTCAAATGTAAATGTATCTGTGTTGTCGTTTGGATAATTCATTGAATGCCATGCTTGAATGTCTTGATAAGATTGCCAATCGTTGTCGGTTATACGTGCGAATATACGTTTATCATACGCGCAATTGTGTACGCGAACAGTTCCATAAGCGATTGAATCCTTTGTGTATAAACATTCTAACATAACTTGTTGATCGTAAATTAACGGGATAATGTTGGTGGGTGATGTGAAATGTTTTGAAATGAGAAAGTAACGAGATGTTGGTTTGACTGCATTCGTTAGAGTAGATGAAGACGATGATCGAGTATTGATGTTTGGAAGATTGAATGGACATAGTGATTGGGATGAAGAAGAAGAAGAAGATAGATTCGACTGGTTTTTAGCTAAACGTAATTGTTCAAGTTTGATACGGATACACTCTTGTATGAGTGAATTTGTGGATTGATCAGGTGGAGTCATATAACGGATTGATTCGAGATCGAGACCCTAAATCAAAAGATAATTTGTAAGTGAAGATGAAAAACAAACAAAGTCAACCATGTCCATTAATTTAACAGACCAAGAGAGTATTCTCAATTTTCTTGATAAAAAACTTTTTAATATTAATGTCGTACAAAAGTGTGATAAAAATTACCGACAAACTAAGTCAATAGAAATGATATCGATCTTCATCATCCAAGTAAATATTTACTTACACATATATCTCAGCACTGATTTCTTTCTGATAAGTCTGAAAATATTGACTTTCTTCTCCCTCAACTGGTTATTTTGACCTTTTAATGAACTCGTCTCTACTTCTTTCTATGTCAATGAGCAGTGTGTTTATCTAATCTATGAATATAGATCTAACGTACCAACATGTCGGCAAAACGAACAACTTTCTTCGGTGCTTTATCCAGTAAAGCTACATTTTTATTCGGTGAAACAATTCCTAACGAATTCGAACGAACACCAATTCCATTAGTGATCTGTTCGTGTTCATGATCGTCATCTTCTGTGTAAGCAGAGAAACGATCTTGTGCACATAACGTATGCGTCGAATCATGAAGAAACGGTACGCGTGGCTTCTGTTTGGTTTGATTTGCAGTAATTGTATCATCATTATTGAATTCATAGTCGTCAATATTTGATGAATTGTAAGATTTTCGAAGAAATTCTTCTAATTCACTAATACGTGCGTCTAGGTTTGATTCATTCGTGTCAAGTAGTGTAGCTGTATCTGAAAAACAAAAGCAAAACTTCAAATTTGAAAATAACCTTTGCGATATCTTTACCTCCGCTTGTTGTCCAGTTCTTTGTTGAAATTCGTTGCTGATCACCTTCACGTTGTTCACATTCATCGTCATCAATTTCATTGAGATTAGCTATTTCTAAATCGTCATTATCGCTGATTTGATCGAAACCAAGGTTAAAATCCAGTTCCTCAGACGATGTCGATGTACCTTCTTCATGACCAGCGTCAGAAAATGTACTACATATTCCAGATGATGATGTATTTGAACTAAATATACTACAATATACACCGGGATCAGAGAGACTAGAACCAAGACAAAAATCGGACCTTGATAATGTGTCATTGGCAGATGAGGAAGAGCCAGCTTCGGAACATGAACGTATACGAGTTGATGATTGTTGGTCGATATTGTTATTTACAGATGTTTCTTTCGCTGGAAATAGATCAGATGTTTGGGCAGTGGGTTTACGTAGAATATTCGATGAATTGTTGGAATTCAAAGTTGAGTTTTGTAAATAATGTATTACTTTATGATTACTGGATAAAAATGTAGTGTCGACATTTCCATTTCCATTCGTTGCTTTTGCATTCAGAGACATTGATTGTACAAAAGATTGATTTAAATAAATATTAATAAAAAAGGAAGTTGTCTATATCAAAATCTGAAATACAAAGTGCATGTTGTTCAAGGAGAATGAAGAACTTCTGGCAGTTGTGAGATGTTGAATGAAAAGAATAGGTGTGCGTGATCGTTATATATCCACACCCCCTATTGATGATAAATGGACACGTTCTTTTCTGTACGCATCGACCTCTTTGTTGATGATTCAGCCCAGATGATATTTTGGCGCAGAAAACACAAAAAAAACGAACGAAACTTTATCTGATGTAATGAAATAAACCTTGAGAAAAGAAAGAACAACAACAAAAAGCAAAATTTCAATAGATATCCATGACTCATCGATTCCTTTCTATTGAATGGTGGATTCTTTTCTCCAACCGTCTTATAGAATATCGATATATGTATATACATCTATCCATTGACTTCATCGATGAAAGACATTGTTTTGCCACCATTCATTCAGCTACTCATATTAACGAGGAAAATAATAACTGTAACGAAAAGCATACAGACGTGTAACATCCAAAGGTGATTAATATGTATACGTGTATATATACACATATCATCAAATGAAAATTTCAGATTATTCTCAACTAATATGAAAGATATATAATCATGACAAGATTATATTCTTCTTTATCTATTCTTCGGTTTGTTATCAGACATTTCTATTATTGTATTTCAAAACATAGATATCTATATATATATAAATAACGGCGAAGGATAACGATGCTCTTCTCTTCTAATAGTCATATATAAATATCATTTATCGATAGCAGAAGAGAACGGTTTCTTTAAATGCAGCTTGACATTCGTTTTTCGACAAAAATGGAGTCAACTATACGAAACTAATTGTATTTCTCATCTCCATCTATTAGCGAAGAGTCAAATCGAATAACTAACCTGTTCATATCGATGAGCAATGAAATCAGTCACGCTATATATGCAAATAATTTGTAATGCATTTGAAAATGATGTGTAATCGATATATATTCGACGTTATGTGCTTCTTATTTCGACTATTCTGGAAATATCCTACACACGTTAAAGAGAAGCTATGTAGCAAACTTCCAGGTGATTGTCGATTGACTCGACGAATGTTTATCATACGAAATAGCAAATAAATGGATAAAAGCATACACCTTGAGCAGCTCATTAAGAATATACGCAGATAGTCATAGAAAAACAAATAAAAATTCAATTTATTCTTTCGCATATGCGTGTTAGTACTCTCATCAAAGTACACATCATTAAGAAAAAAGACACAAAAGCAAATTTTAATGTTTTATCAATTTTGTATTGAGTTACACTTAAGTATTTATTAGCATCAACACAAGAATGGTGTAATCTCGGATGCTATGTGTGATTTTTGAAAATAGAATCTTACAAATACTTTTTCTTTCATGCCATGCATTATCTTCATCCTAGGAGATCGCTCCCAACATTTCCTATTCATTTAGTAATTCGCATAAATTAACTAAGGTTTCGTATTACAAAGACGAATACATTCTTATAAGAAAAAAAAATGAAGAGCAATGTAAAACTTACACAGCACGGAATAGTCAACATGCTTCAAGTGAGCATGAGTCTAAATAAAGAAATAAACTTAGAAGTATGATGGATGACTAAAATAACTTTACCTGAATAATGTTTACAACGTTATACAAAAGAGATCAAAGTCCATACGATGATGAAATGTTCGCCAAGACAAACAGCATATTGACATAACGATGTAAATCGACGGTTCACATCAGAAATGTATTTTCTTATATGTAAATTAACATATTCTCCTCATAGATAAATTCGTACAAGTAAGTCTTCAACCGAAATCACAAAAATAGATCAGATTTTGTTTGCTCAGAAATTCTGTTCTCATAGAATAAAGTCTAATAACAAATAATTCAGTAAAAACAGTGTCGATGTCGATTCGAAGAAAGAATGATTGTACTAATGTCATTTGCTCACAATGCAAGATTGCCCTACTTAGTTTACCCGTTTGTTGTCGAGTAATGTTTACTCCTCACTGGCATTTGTGAAAGAACGAGAAATTCGTAAAAGCGATAGTTCTGTTCAAGACTGTTTTGATTGACTTACCGATAGGAGAACGAAAAAAAGCAGTTCTATTTCAACGAAAGATTGAATAGTAAAATAATAGTTGTTCGCACTCTACGTTCCGAAAGATCATCGAAGTCTCGCAAGGAGAAGACCTAGCGGCATAGCGAGAGGACAATACCATTCGCTTTTCCACATCATAGGGAACGCCGACTGCCTCCATATATTCGAAGGAGTGGAGCTGTATGTGGACGGTCAAGTAGACTCGAACACTGGTACTTGGTTCATGAACTTCATTATACCATTCGATCAAGTTATTGTGAAGAAAATGAAACGATTATCTTACTTTTACTTTTTTTCGTATAGGGAAGAGCGATAGCATGATTCAAGTTCACTTTTTTCCAAGTACTTTGGATCGAAAGACGAACGAAAAAAGTTTTCGTATTAGCTGTCGAGAAATATGATAAAAAGAATAAGAAAAACGTTACTTTCACCCGTTAACGAACAATTTTCTTCTTCCTTTCTGTCGTATAGTTCCATGTACTTAAAGTAATGTATCGATCGTCCTCTAAGTGCAAATTTAGCTCGATCAATTGCGCATATATATAGACTGTGTACATAACCTAGTTTTCTTTTTGAGGGCAAAGATGAAAATTTCTTATCGCCCATCAATCCTTTGCGAACACTACTGCCGGTCGACCCAGCTGATAAACTTACGTGTAATAAAAATAATCATGTTTTCATTTCTACGAAACAAAAAGTACCATCTTTTTGTTTCCGGGCGTCTGTTTCTATTGTGTTTTTGTTGTAAATAATAGCATTATTCGGACTGTTTCAAATGGTATATAGAAAATGTTGATTTCTCTTTTTTTTTGAAATCTGATGTCGATCGATCGACGTATGAATTTTTTTTAAAAATAAGAGAGAAAACGAAACAATCATGAATTTTTTTTGTAAATAATTTATTGCGGATGTCCATACTGTTGAGTACCGTACGGCGCTTGTGAATGTTGATAATGATGGTACCAGTTATTTGGATGTTGTGGTAGCGGTGACGGTAATGGATAATGATATGATGAAGAAGCAGATGACGGTGGTGCACTCATAAACGGTGCTGTGGATGTCATATACAATGTGTTTGTTGTTGTTACTGGCAAAGGATAACGTGCGACTCCAGATGGAGTTGGCCGTAGATGAGAGTATGGACCGGTAAATGTATTCTGATAATGTTGAGGGAAGTTAGGTGAAGAAAAAGGTCCTGTACCAAGATTTGGAGTACTATTATTATTAGTATTATTATTTGGTGTAAAATGAATTGTTCCCGTATTCGATGACACGTTATTAACTGCGTATAAATCTGAAGCGTAGCTACCAGGTGTTGAATGACATTGTAATGGTAACTGAGAAAATCCGCTCATTTTAGTTGTTGATCGTATTGTTGACGAGGACGTCGTTTTAGTATTGTCATCTGTTGTAGAAAGAGCCGAAGGTTCAGCAGTTGGTGTATCGTTATCATCATCATCTTTTGCTGAACTTTCTTCTTCACCCATAATTCTAAAAGAAACGATAAGAAGATCGAAAGTATTATCTTTCGAGGGAAATTTACCTGAGCCTGGCTAATCTGTATTCGAGTTCACGTTGTTCATAAGTTTTAATAACAGGTTTGGTTGATTGTGTAGTTGATGAAGTCGAAGAAAACACAGGTGAGGTTATAGATTCCGCTGAATTCGCTGAATCCTTTGTTTGATTTCGTGGAATGATCGATATAACAGGCACTGTTGTAGACGAAGAACTATTGTAAAAAGGAGACGAATTACTGTTATTGGTATTATTTTCATTATTCGATAATGTCATTGTTGTTGAGTTGGTGTTCGAAGAAATAGCAGTTTTTGATGCTATCGAACTATTAGACACATCATTGTTAGTAGTGGATAATTGAGATTGACTGGTTGGTCGTTTAAGAATTCGAATTGGTTTATTCGAGTTCATTAAGTTAAAATTGATGTTATTTTGACTGTCATCATCGGTGGTAGCGGGTTGTGCAGGAGATGGCACGAACTCCTAGAAGATAACAACGTGAAATTAATCTCTGTTCGTAATTATAGCAAACGGTACGCGTTGAAAGAAAATAGAGTCTTACTTGACTTAGTTGAGTTAATCATGAAGTCTTACTCTTTATTTAGCAATACTCTCTTCACGAACTTGACTATTTTTGTACCAACAGTGACATCAGTACAAATGTTATGTCATATTCTATTGAGTACTGAAAACTTGAGAATTGAGAGGCGAAGGAAATCGAAAAATCTTACTTGATTAGATGCACGAGCTTTTTCATGTTGTTCAAGTCGTTTATCGAATTCACCTGTATCGACGGCCACTTCCCAATCATCATTATCATTTCCCATCGTCGCTGCTGTTGTTACTCTATCGACCATAATTTATTCAATATCGAATCAATGTGTTGTACGAAACACAACAAAAAAACAGCTCAATTTCAATGTAATGAAAAGTCGAAGTCTGATTTCTTTCTCTTTTATCTATTGAATAGAGATGAACAGAATCGAAACCAAAACCGTCGATGATAACAGTCGGATTCAGAGAAAGATGATGATAAAATCTATAATCAAATAAAGAAAAAACCGCATAAGTCATAAGAGAAAAAGAAAGAATGAACATCTTGAATAAAAGATGGATATTTTTTGTTGTTATTGTTGTTGTTTTGCAAACAAAAGCCGCGAAGAGAGTGAAAAAAGTGAGTGACGCACATACAAATATACGCAACGAAGGCAAAAATGATCACACAGATAACGCGGATCAGAAAGAAAACGAATAACAGATCTTTTCTTACATATTGAACATCTTTTTTTTTTGATTTTCTTTCATGTTTGAGATCAATCAGTCGACTGATCGATATTTGCGAGTATGCACACGTTCATACGCATACACAGATTTTTAGAAAAAAAGAAAGAATAGAACAAACAAAGCGATTATTTAATTGTTCGATGATAAAAGAAAAAGAAAGTGACAGAATATGAGTATAATGTATGTATATATGTATATATAGGGAAAAGAAGACGAACGCGAACTAGGGAAGAACGAAAATCTAGTTATCGGCTTCGCCTAATCGACCATAAGACGTAAAAATGATGAGACAGAGAAAGAAAGAAAACGAACAACGCGAAATATGCTCACGACATCAATGTGCGTAGAAAAATACAAGTGGAAAGAGATACATGTGATCAAGCACACTGAACAGAGATAAACTCTATGTAGTGGAGAGCGAATAGAGACAGTTCAGTTCACTCTTGATATTGCTTTTGTTTAAATTAGAAATTGAACTCTGTACAAAAGAAAATGAAAAAAAAAGAAAGTAGTTTAACTAGATAAGTAGATTGAGAGAGTGCACAAGAACAAAGAAAACATTTCCGTACATGTATATATGTGTTCTATGATCGTCGCGTTGAATTATTGGTTGTTGGGATTGCTTTCAGATGCCGAAGTAAGAAATTCATTAGGTCGCTTGTGTCTTTCTAATGCATTTAATGTCGAATAGTCATGCGGCAATTCGCTCTTGCGCCTTATCATGGGTTTGCCTTTTTGCAGCGCGCGGCTTGCCTGAAAAAAGAACAAGAGTATCATTAATATGATCAGTGTTCATTAATTACACTAGAAGAACAGAGGACTTCATCACAAGAAAGCTCTCTCAAGTGATGAGCAGTTCTTCGTGACTTACTTCTTTTGCTTCTTGTTCGATCTCCTTCGCTGTTATATTTGCTGCACCAGCATCGTCGTCATCATTATCAACAGGTCGATACAATTCTGGTTGATTCATTGCACACAATTTAAACTAGAAGAAAAATCACGATGAATGTGTGAAGTAAATGTGATGTCTTACGTTAGGATTTTGTCGAGCTTTGTTTTCGATTTTTAACCATGCGGAATCTCGCTCACGTAATTTTTCTTTTTCTTTCTGCTTTTCGATTTTATATTTCTGCGAGCATTCATCGAATAATTTATGATTCATTTCCATAAATAATTTCAATGCATTATAAATCAAACCATGTATTGTCCTATTCATTTCAAATCGTAACATACAATTAGTTATTCAAATTCACTGATATTTACTTATTCCAATGTGTTTTCGTGTTCTTATACAAAGCTGGAAACATTATCGGTAGGATAACCGTAGCATTTTCCGTTAATAAACTCATTATATATTCGTTATTCCAATAGTAAAGAGCACGTTCCGCAACCTATGAGAAAATTACAAAATGAGAACGAACAGAAAAGGATCGTTCAACGAACTTGAAAATGTGGACTGGATACACATTTTGCTAATTGTTTGAATAAAGGTACCATGACCTTTTGAAATTCAACTGGTTCGATAACATCGAGAATTTCTTCCAATTCGTTGAGAAACATAACCTCCTTTGGACTATGAGTTTTCGGCCAATATTTTAATAAACCCATGATCACCTGAAAAGTACAATAGAACGCGTTTGACTTTTTTTTTCGACTTGTCGAAAGAATCTTACCGGTTGAGTTAGACTCGGGTCTTTTTCAAGAAATTGCACGATACAATAAGCTAATTGTGGATGGTAAACACTGAGCGTTTTCACTTTATGCAATGGTAATAAAAGTTTGATTAGGAATACTTTATGTTCTTCTTTTAATGGTAATGCAAAACCATTGATAATACTAAACGCATCGAACGGAACATTTATTCGTCGTTTTTTACTCAAAAAATACCTTCCTACCTTCCTAAAATTTCTAATAATTCAGCTATACCATTATGTCGTTCTGTTTCGTAGATAAACTAAAAAGAAAAATCGATGAGAATGAATTCTAAATGTCATCAATGAAACGGATATGACTTATTCGAGAAAGCCGAAATGAATCGATAATTCTTCATCAATATTTACTTTGTAGAATGTATTATTGATTTGTTTTCGTATATAAGCTCGTAGTCCGAGAAATTTTCCATAGATACGATGAAGAATCGTCTTGAGGAAGTCTCGTTCACGTGGATCTTCGCTATCAAATAAATCCAATAACTAAATCAAACAAAACATATGTCAATATTTCATATGTGTACGTGTGTGTTCATACGTTGAGGACAAATTTTTGATCAATGTATCGTTTCGCTGTGTTGGGTTGGAAATCCGGCGATTCGAGAAAACGTAAGAAGAAATCATAAACAAGTTGTAAATGTGGCCAAGCAACTTCGAGGCTCGGTTCATCTTCTTCCGGATCGAAATCAGCACCTGACGGATTACTTGTTGGTGGTAATGTTCGAAAAAGATTGATGGAAAACTAAAGAAATTCAACAAAATACACGCTCGAGATATATTCTTTTATGTTTACCATTCGAACAGCTTCGCAATAGATTGGATCGGTGATGACACCTCGATTGGTTGTTATATAATCAATCATTTCATTCAATGCTGCACGTTTGATTTCTTTCCATTTCAAATCTGATAATGGATCAAGTTGAAAATCGAAAACTATGCAACATTGTTGCAGCTTTTGAACAAACAATGATTCTCGTTCGCTAGCTGAAACATCTTTCAGAATTGGTAATTTGACCAATTCACGATTTTTCGAGATGTTAAATCGCGAGGAATTTCTTCGGTTATCTTTGCGAATATTCGGCACGCCAGTCATTGGTTGAACTTTAGTTAACGGCGTTTGTGGTGGATGTGGTGCAGCTAGACTCGAACCACTGGCACTCAGGTTGTTTCCACTCGTCATTATTTCCGTTTGCGGTTGAGGAGATTGCAAGAGCGAATTTGATGAACGTCCCGACGCTTTGCTTCCAGTATTATTCGCTGCCGTAGATGTGTTTACGGTTAATGATTTATTATTAGTCAAATCTTTTGCTTTATTCTAAAAGAGAAAAGTGTTGGATGAAAAACGATCGATTTTGACAGATAAAAGTGTATTACATCATCAACAACCATAGCTTTTCCGTCTGCCTCATCTTTCGATTTTGATTTCGTGACAACGGCCGTCTAAATAATCGCACAGAACGGATATGATCGATTCGAGCGAAGAAAGTCTTACCTTTTTAGTCTTACTAGCTTCTTTTTCTTTGTCCTTATCCTTCGATGAAGAGGACGCTGAAGACGACGGCATTTGTCGTAGATGAGTGATGGCGTCTGAGAATCGCTTCAGCTCGACAGGTCCAAGATGAACAAAAACGAATAGGGATGGAAGCGAATGAAAGAAAACTCGATTTCGTTGACGTGTATTTTGATTATTTGACTTGTTTTACGTATAATAACAACGTAATTCGATCATCACTGATCGAAGGAATTCATATTAAACAATTAATTCATATAGAGACGCACTGATCAGAAAGAAAAATGAAGAAAAAAGACAAATAAATCACAATAGAATTAATTCTATTGCATCTGAGCTAATGAAAATAATGTTTCTCGAATGACAAATAAACAACAATAAGACGGCGAACGAATGAAAAGAATGGACTAAAAGAAACTATACGGTTCCTATCGGACCAATTATTAAAGTGATCCCTCGCTGTCGTTTTTCTTTGCTCACGTAAGAAGTGTATGAATATATCAAGAAAAGAAAGACATGATTTCTATCTCGTATTGCATACCTTGGATGTAACGAAATAGGAGGTACAAAAAATAAATAATATGTCGATTTCTTCTCTTCCTCAAATCACTTTCTCTCCTGATCGATCGAAAAGATAAACGCAAAAAAGACAAAAAGAGAAATTCTTTGTTTTTCATTCAACTGTTTTTCTTTTCATTAGTTTCTGACGCAGAAAAAAACAAGCAAAAACCAGAGACGAAAATAGATGTCGCCCATTTCCACCCCCTCCATATTTTATTACCATCCACCCATCGAAAGAACATGCAAACAATAATAAATCTCTAATATTTTATTGCATGTCAGTTTCATATCAATCTTGACATTATGTAAATTAATCGATTTATTCTCCATTCTTATACTCGAAAAGAAAATGACAGACTGATGACAATTGGTTTTTCATCAAGAATCCCAATTGAAGTGACTTTATCTCGCGACAGAATCTTTCGTTCTTCGCCTTTTTTTTGGAATCTATCCGTCGACCAGACTCATTTGAACAGAGTTAAAAAGATCTCTTCGAGAAATACGGACGCAGCAAACAAATGTCGATCTAATCAAGGAGCGGAAATGAGAGAAGCAAGACAAAAACGCGACTAGTCTATTTATAATTATACATATAGATTTGACAAACGCGCACAAGATCAATTGAATGTTTTTCTTTCTTTTCAAAATAGATTATCGAGAAAAAAAACTGCTATTACGTTGATAAACAAGCTATATCGAGCGTTTTATGGTAATTGAAACTACATAGGAGAAAAATAAAAAGGCATGTTGGGATATTGATACACAATTCACATGATTTTGAATACCAAATCGATTCTGTTTTGAAGTACATTGATTTAACAGCGAATGCCAGAGCTCAGTACAATCAGTGATGAATTTTTTTCATCCAAGGAATGCTTTGTCGTCATGAAAGCCATTCACATCTGGTTTTTGTCTCATTTCTATTTCAAAGATCGAAAGAATTCTTTCACAGTGAACAATCAGCTTTTAAAAACAAAATTTCAAGTAAATGTCGTTGATATGTCAAACTCGAACTTGTTTTTCTCAGATCATTTACTTACTTATCTTGCACGATCGTATTATTCAATTTCCGCAGGAATAATTATGTGCAAATAGAAAGTCTAAATGATGTCTTCGTTTTTCTCATGGTTCAAACCTCTTTTTCCCTGGATAGTTCTCCAAATGACTGTATGTTATTCATTTTGCTCGCTATGACTTCTCAAACGATGTTCACATTACGTCAAAATCATGTTTTGTGTTAATTGGCATTGGAGATGTTTTCGATGTTCGATTCAAAAAAACACGTTCTGATTGTCATGCAGAAAATGGCGATTCAGATTGGCATCCGGTTTTTTACAAAAGGAAATCATAGTTGAAGGTAATGACAATGTGAGAATTTTTAGATTGTTTCATTCATGCGGTGGTCTAACCAAGAACATGTTTGCACATTTGAAAGTACTCAGTCTTTTTTTTGTCTAGATTTCATCCGATATGGATTCCAATGCTGATGAAAGAGGCCATCGATATCCTCAACGACGTGTTGATACAATTCATGGCAATACGACGAATGACAAAGTAGATAAGTAGGTCATAGAGAAATGTTGGAAGATCTTTTTCTAAATGAATTATCTTTTCTAGCAACTATATTGCCAATCGTCGACATAGTTTAGCTCATATTAACTTTCGGAAAGCGATTGATCGAAGTCTCTCATTGCCAGACATAACTGAGGAACCTAATCATCTCCAACGACGTTATTTGGAATATTTCATTAAATTTTTATTTCTTTGTTTTGTGAGTGTTTCTATCTGCATATTAATTCGATTTCTTCGCTCGTTCTCGAAGACATAAATCATGAGTAAACAGCTCGTATACATTATCTTTTTGTTAATCGATGAAAACGAGTTGTTTTGATTTGTCTGAAGAAAAATAAGAGATACTCATCGATGACTTTGCTTCTTATTCATTGATGCATATCTGGTTTTTGTGCTGAAAATGTCATCTTTGATCAATATTTGATAAATAAAGATTGACCGAAATGTCATATTAGAGATTTAATCATCATAACAAGATTTCTACGATTGTGACAGTTGAGTGTTGATGGACGAATTCGTCTATTTGAGTTTGAAACGCGTTTTCCTAATCCAATCGTGTAGGTTTATCACATATCAAGATAAACATACTGACATTAGAGATGATAGATTGAAGATACTCTTGTCGACACTACCCCCAAATAACAGATACTTATGTCAATTAGACAATGATGATGCTGACTTGTTAGATTATGTAATTGAATCTTTGTTCGATATTCTCTACCGTGATTAGCGACGAGAGATCACATCTGTTGACAGCACACAAAATGATTCTTTGTGTTGTTTTGTTTAACTGATATCGACACTCGAGCAATCGAGTTATAGAAACAACGACCTCAATGATAAGCTTCGCTAATGTTTATATCAGTCATTTGTATCCGAAATCGCCTAACATTAACATCAAGCAAATGAGAGATCAAAAGTAAGATAAGACACCAAAGAAACGAGCCCAATCTGATTATTTCAATTCTCTCGAAGACACTTTTGTTTATCCGCTTATTGTTTCTATCTTTTTTTTTCTTCTCTTCGTGTATTTGTTTTTCTCGTCTTCGTCGTCGTCTATCTCTCTTTTTCTCGTAAAAAAAAAACTAATCGAGTCCATTACTATTGGACATCAGCAAATGTACTACAGCTGTTTATGTCTTGGAAGATATTTATATACTTTCTTCTAATTCGAATCTTATTCTTATCGTCGATATTCGATTCGACAATTGCAGTTCAATTACTGAACGCATCATCGGGTATCTATGTTGGACGAACCGTTCATTACGGCAACAGAACTATTCAACAGTATCTGGGAATCGAATATGGACGTACTGTTAAACGATTCGATCGAGCTATACCAATTTTAAAAGAAAATGATCGGATTATTCAAGCAACTTCATTAGGACCTTTCTGTAAGCCAACATTCGGTTCATGCCCGGGAAATATTGGAGTGAATGTTTCGTTGCCTACCTGTTCTATTAGTTATGGTATTTTTTCTGTTAAATCGTATCCAGCTGAACAATGTTTGTTTTTAAATGTCTTCATTCCGGTGACGACCGATCCTCCTCCTACTATCACTAGTGGTAATTATCCAAAGAAGAAAGCCATACTTATGTGGATTCATGGTGGTTCAGGTCAAATCGGCACAGGAAACGTGTTTGACGGAACGATTCTTGCCGCTCTAGGCGATATTATTGTTATAACATTTAATTTTCGCTTAAATCTCTTTGGCTTTCTATCATCAGGCGACAGTCGTCTAGAAGGAAATCTAGGTCTTTACGATCAAGCTCTAGTTCTCGACTGGATTTATCAAAATGCACATGCATTCGGCGGAGATATTCATCGTATTACAGTTGGCGGACATTCAGCTGGTGCTCCGCATGCTTACTATCTAGCTAAATCGCCATTCAATCAAGGACGTATACGTCGATTACTGTTGCAAAGCGGTAGTCCATTTAATATTTGGTCACATTTGAAAGCACATGATGCGATGGAAAAATTCAATACGGTCGTGAATGACAATGCGTGTGGGATCTGGCGAACATTTGATGAGAAGTTAAAATGTTTACAAGAGCGCGATTTTGATTTGATTGCGGAACATGAGCATCATTCGTATACAAGTGCAAATCATACAAATGTTGTTACTGCCGGATATTTTATGAGTGAATTTCGAGAAGAATTTCAACTGAATGATACACTAGCAGATGTAGATATACTAATGGGTTCGACAGACGATGAAGGTAATCGAATTTGATGTCGATATTCGTTTTTTATTTGTATAATTTCGCAGGTGTTTATGTGGCAATTGTACCGATTATTATGGAACAATCGAATCCTGAGATAATTACACTTCACAATGTTAATTTTACTGAAGTAACGCTCAAATTTCTGGATGCTATGCAACCGGACAAGACCTGTTTACACCAAAAAGCTTTGGAATTGTAAGTCACACTTTCCGCGAACTCATTTTCCATCTTCACTTTTTCTATCTTAGATATCACATTGACAAAATTCCTTCGAATTGCTCTGAATCACTCGAGTGTTACTGTTCGGCATTCTACAATTATTCACGTCTTATAACCGATGTTCTTTTCAGCAACGACTACTATCGTTTCATTGAACAACGTTTGAAATATTCCAATCACACCTATCTCTATCAATACTCTCATCGAACTGCGCAAGAACATCCAACGCCTTGCAATGATTATTTACACAAACAAGACCTAGTTGGACACTTTGCTGAACTTGAATACACATGGGGCACACCGCTGTTATACGAAGAGCCAAATTCAACATTGCATCTATCGCCATTGATTGAATATGTTCGATATGGACCGAACATGACCACCGATTACAATTTTACTCATATGTATACAAAAGAGCAAATCGAATTTAGTAAACAGTTGATTGAGCAATGGTCAAATTTCATCAAAACAGGTCAACCGACAAGCCCACAATCTCGTCTCCACTGGCCACCGATAACGAATAATTCGATAGGACTTTTTATGCATTTACAAGTCAATCAAAGTGAAGTCAAACAACTTGTTATTCCTCCAAGTGTCGAATTTTGGAAGAATAAATGTCCAGACAAAAAGACATCTTCACCCCGAACGAATTCAATGAATAACGATGCATTCACTACTGACATAACCTGGGAGATCGTTTTTGGTTGTTTCATATTTTCGATGGTGCTTTATTCAATTCATTCATTTCAATAAATTAATAGACAGACTGAAAAAAAAACAAATCTTTGTGTTATTTTTTTTGTGTAATGCTAACTATTTTTTCAATAATTCATATTCATATATTTCTTTGATACGAATGTGCAATTCATTGTAGAAATACACTATCATTTTCTGATTTTCTTTCGTGTTTTATCTGTTGAACAGAATTTTAACAATATCAACATTTTCTCTCTTCTTTGCCGCTTGGTATAATAAAATATTAGTTTTTCGCTTCATTAATCAGTGAAGTTTGCTCGTCTCAGAATACAGTAAGTAATTGAAATCGAGGATCGAATATACATATGTAAGCGTTTACGATTAGCGAGTAAAACGTCACATCCGATGAATTACCTTATGTTTATGATCGATGCTCGTCGAATATGAAGTAAAGAACACTCATAAAGATACGAATGTAATCTTTTAAGATAACATTAAAATCTTTTTCGTACGCATTGAGGCAAATACATTCTCTTCCTTTTGTAAATGTTACAAATCAAAGCATTGATTTTGATTGCTGTTTCGATTCTTCTGACATCTATTACATTAACGATCGTTACGAGCCAATCATGATTCATTAGACATTGCACGCGTTGACTGTCTGCTCTGTTTTGCTCGCTGTACCTACACAAAGTACTCTTGTAGATGATTGTGGTTTCATACGATCATTGTAATGAAGTTTTGCACTGAAGAACTTTGATCGGTTTTCCATTTTTTTAGATATGCCTCGTAGGTTTAGTCCCCGATTTATTCGTCACGGCCTTCTGCTATGTACATCGGCAATAGGTACTGGTTTCCTTGGACAATATCTTGTTGACGTAAGTCGAAATCGTGTTCGTGATATGATCAGAACTTTTGTGTACGTAGAAAAACAAAGTGAAAGCAGCAGAACCCGCATTACATCGGCCAGATGTATGGCTAGATGATTTTCCATCACGAGAGGTACAAATAGATAAAATGTCGAAAGAGCCAGAGTACGATATCGTCGTTGTTGGTGGTGGTGCAACAGGTTGTGGAATCGCAGTTGATGCAGCAAGTCGCGGTAAGTTTAATCTAATGATTTTCTAGTCGAATATCTTCACATATTGATCGTTCAATAGGTCTCAAAGTGGCTCTCGTGGAAAAGTATGATTTTAGTAGTGGTACGTCATCAAGATCGACGAAATTAATTCACGGCGGTGTTCGATATCTACAAAAAGCTATCATGCAACTCGATCGTGAACAAGTAGTCGATTCCCTTTTTTGTTTATGGCTTCCGAAGTTTTCATGTCTTCAAATTCTAGTATCACATGGTGAAAGAAGCTCTATCTGAACGTGGTAATCTTCTTAAAATCGCGCCGCATTTATCTTATCCGCTACCAATCATGTTACCAGTTTACAAGTAAGAAAAAAAATCGGAGAAATCGTTTTTAAAAAGATTCATTTCATCAATCGTTTAGATGGTACTTATTACCATACTTCTACGCTGGTATCAAAGCGTATGATATCGTATCGGGACGGCAATTACTCCGATGGTCATATTTGATATCAAAAACCAAAGCATTGGAATTGTTTCCGATGTTGAAAAAGGAAAAACTTGTTGGTGCTATTGTTTATTACGATGGACAACATAATGATGCACGAATGAACATTGCATTGGCATTTACCGCTGCACGAATGGGCGCGAATGTGGCTAATCATTGTGCTGTAACTGAATTTATTCATGAAACTACTCAGGTCGATCATGGCAATGGAAAAGCAGAAACAAAAAAGCTAATACGAGGTGTGAAATGCCTAGACCGTTATCGAAGTATGTTAGATAAAAGTGAACAAACAAAAAGTGAAATACACTTCTTGAAAATTTTAGATAAAGAATTTACAATTCGAGCGAAATGCGTTGTCAATGCTACGGGACCATACACTGACTCCATACGACAAATGGACAATCCAACAGCACCGAAGATTTGTCAACCATCATCCGGCGTTCATGTTGTTTTACCAGATTATTACAGTCCCAATAATATGGGTTTACTCGATCCAAATACATCAGATGGACGCGTCATCTTTTTTCTACCTTGGCAAAAACATACAATGGCTGGTAATAGATCTCACTCTATGATTGTTTTCAAGTCTTTCTATATTTTTTTTCATTAAGGTACAACGGATACACCTTGTGAAGTAACGGATTATCCATCTCCATCAACTGCAGATGTTGATTTCATCTTGGGCGAAGTGAAAAATTATCTTTCATCCGCTGTACAAGTACGTCGTGGCGACGTTCTTGCAGCATGGTCTGGCATTCGACCACTTGTTCTCAATCCTGATAAGAAAGATACTCAATCAATTGCACGAAATCATATCATTCATGTTAGTGACACAGGTCTCGTTACAATTGGGGGTGAGAGAGGAAACAATGTTCTTGGAAATCTTTTCAGCATGTTCTTTTCAGGAGGCAAATGGACAACTTATCGACAAATGGCTGAAGAAACAGTTGATCGCTGCGTGTCATCTGCCAATCTTCAACCGAAAAATGGTTGTGTTACTAAAGGTTTAATATTGACTGGCGGAGAAAAATGGACACCAACGTCTTATATTCGTCTGGTCCAAGACTATGGTATCGAAACCGAAGTACGTGTCTCTCTCTCGAATTTCTCGTCCAATTTCATTTGCATTTTCAACGAAATAGGTTGCTGTTCATCTTTCAAATACCTATGGTGATCAAGCACACAAAGTCGCTGATTTATCGTCATTGACCGGCAAACGTTGGCCTGTGGTCGGCAAACGTTTACACGAAGAGTTTCCTTACATTGAAGCGGAAGTGATCTATGCAGTTAAAGAATATGCTCGTACAGCTGTCGATATTCTTGCGCGACGAACACGTCTTTCGTTTTTAAATGTTATCGCTGCTGAAGAGGCACTTCCGCGTATTATCGAAATCATGGCGAAAGAATTACATTGGAATGAACAAAAACAAAAGGTAAACGTCATGAATTGTTTTTCAAATGTTTTTTTTAATGTTGTTTCATCGATTTACAAATAGGAAGAAACAGATCGTGCGAAAACATTTCTTCTTCGTGAAATGGGTCTTAATTTGAAACGTGATATGCGTCGAAATGTCCCAATTAATTTCACTCGCGAAGAAATGGGCTATTATATGAAACATTTTCGACAAATCGATGTCGATAACAAAGGTTTTCTTACACTCAGTGATTTAAAACGACATTTACAGGTGAATGAGTTCTATCAATAAAATTATTCTTAATTTTCCTACTGTTTCTTGAATAGGTTTCAACCAGCGACATATCTGAAGAAGAACTTCGAATTTTAATGCGTGAAGTTGATCAAAATCAAAATGGAATTATCGAAACTGAAGAATTTCTTCAAGTACGTTCGAAACGAAAACGGCTTTTTCTTACTAATTCTTTCTTCAAATTTAGTTAATGAGCGCTCTGAACACGGGTGCAGTTTCAACAAGTCATTTTGTCAAAGCGGCTCGTATCGGCAAGATAAAAAGCAATGCTCCACCTGAACGTAGTGGTGGCGGAGTTTAGAAAAAATCAAATTTGTGAATCATTTGACCTAGTCAACATTTTATCTAAATCATCTGAACTAAATAGTTCGTGCTTTTATTGATGTTTACATTCCTGTTGAATATCATTAATCTATCTTTTTAGAAAATGCTTTCACTGTTCTTTTATTATTTCAATTGATAATTCCTGCTCCTAGAATCTCTATTTTCTTTCGTCTGTGTGTGTGTTTTTTCTGTTCTCTTTTTTTTTCAACATTCTTCATTTACAGTTGTTCGAAAAAAAATCTTCATGAGGAGTACGTAAATAAATTTTATGTTAAAAATAGCATTGAAGATTTTATTCCATTAAATTTTAATGTAGGAAAAAAAAAGAAAGATTCGAAAAGAGGTTCAAATACAATTACGAGTCGATAGTACTTTGTGTACATGATGCTTTTTGTTTATTTATTTCAAGCATTTGATCTTGAACGTTCATATATTCACACTTCAATTAACTAATAGAATGTCTCAATTGGAACGAACAGGTTTTTTTCACTTCTTCTTCTGTGCGAATATTTCATCGAACTCCCACATGAATGATTATCCAGACTCTGTCATCTGTCGGATCGTGGGAAATATAGACATACACCATACATTCGGTGTTTTTTTCTCTCTTCTCATTTAGTTTTTTTTTTCTTCTTCTTCTTCTTCTTTCATATCTATCCTCAAGCATCAACCTTCAATCTTTCCCTTCTGAATAATCTTTTGTCACATCGTCATCAAGGTGAAACACGTCTTCTTCTTTTTTTTTCTGCCTTTTTCACCTGTTCTACTTCTATTCTGATGTCCTTTGCATTCACTGTTCTCATTAAAAAAAGCTACTTATATACATGAATGTAAGTAGGCATCATCATAATCATCATAATCATCGATGGAGAAATACGTAGCATAAAAATGAGTTCTGTTCCTGTCTGTGACTTACGCGCATGCATGTACGCGTGCCAGATCTTGGGAAAATATCGAGAAAGTCTTAGTTAGCAAAGAATGACGATGATGATGTTGTTTTTCTTTCCTTTTTCCGTTCTTTCTCTTCGTATATTATTATTGTTGTTGTATTTGGTGTTTCTGCTTTACTATATGGATTATCTCCGAATGATATTCGAATACTTGTTAAAGAACTGAGTACAGAAGAAGAAAGTAGATCACGTGTGTCGGTTCGGTTAAGAGATGAAAAGTAAAGCGAGAGAACCGTTCTCGAGTGGACTCGAGCTGTAACAGTTTATTTGAAAATATGTCGGTTGTCTGTTAGCATCATCACAAACCAATGTCAGATATACAATACACGTAAATTAGACATTACTCAAGGAGAAAGAGAGGAGAGAAAGGAAAAAAGAGAGAAGAAAAAAAAAAGAAAAGAAAAGGAAGCCGAGTCGATGGAAGGGGAACGAGAGAATAGGGGTTGAAACGAGAAAGAATCTGGGCATCGTAGTAATGCATTGAAAGAACGAAAGCAACAACAGCAGTCGCCGGCGTTTCTTCAGCATAAGCAACAAACCGTTTCTCGTTTTTCTTTTTTCGAAAAATATATATATATATATCAAAAAAAAAAGTCGCGACCGACTTGATCTTCCTTGTGCTACGACGACTGCGTCCTCGATACTATTTCAAAGTATATAAGAAGAAAATCTCAGCACACAAGTACACAGACCCAAGTGTATACACGCGACAAAATCCACGTAGAAAACCCCGTCATCTTTGTGTATTAGTTAGGCAAATAAACCAGCTCTAGACCATTTATCTGACACTATTATTGCCATATTATCATTATCATCGATTCAGAGAAAAAAAAAACACAAGACAAAATAGATTTCCGTTCTTTCAGGTAAATATCAGCATTTTCATGAAATAGATTATTTGTAATAGATGTCATTTGACTTGTAATTCGATGTAAATGAGAAATTTGACTGGAATTAGTTCAGCAGCATCAGTCTGACGCGACGAACCTCGTGCCCTATACTAGTATAGTGAAGCCATTTGTTAGTTTGTAATATTTTTAATTACAAAAGAAAACTTGAAATGATAGGTATAAAAGTACTATGCACGAATAACTTTTAGGAATGTAGGTAAATGATGACGTCTGCAAAGTTTTGAAATAATCGTGTGTAGATTGATGAGTTTTCAAAGAGTTACTTAGAGAGTTTTCTCGTGTATCTAATGCGAGAAGAAAGTATTGAATTCCCGTCCCGCATGCAAAAGAAATCTTCTTCTCCTTCTTCTTTATCACTGTAAAACATTGAAGAATTCTATATTGTTCGTTGACATGTTTAGATTGATCAATGAGATATTGTTTTAGTAGAAAATGGGACGAAAAAAAATTCAAATATCCAAAATAAACGACGAACGTAATCGTCAAGTGACGTTCACTAAACGAAAGTTCGGTTTAATGAAAAAAGCTTACGAGCTCAGTGTGCTCTGTGATTGTGAAATAGCATTAATTATCTTCAATTCGTCGAATAAACTCTTTCAATATGCTTCAACCGATATGGATAAAATCTTGCTCAAATATACCGAATACAATGAACCACATGAAAGTCGAACAAACAACGACATTGTACAGGTAAGAGAAACACCGCGCTCATTTGTCGTTTTATCATTTATATATTCATATCTGTTCGGAATATAGATTTTAAATAAGAAAGAATCGAAACATCTCGATCAAAACGATAGTGATAATGATATGGAAGATGAAAGTGCTAATGAAATGGATAGTAACCATCCACTTCCATCACATCATCAAGCACACCATCTACATCATCTGGACATGTCATTGAATGATTCGAAGAAGCGATCAAATAGTGAAAACCATGTAATACATAAAGTTTTAATTAAGAAAAAAGCTTTATTAACTTTGTTATAGACACATCTGCCCAGCAACTATCACCCAACGTTAGCTATGGTAAATGGAATTAATCAACAAAGTTCACAACAGCCAAATTATTTAGCAGGTTTGTTGTTTTATTTGGTCAGGGCAATAAGGCAAAGATTTCTTATCTAAATATAGTTCATGGAACACCTAGAATAGATGCCTCGTCATCACCCTCACCTCAATCAACATATTCACCGCAAAGTTCACCTGGTGAATCACGTACTAGTCCAAGTGCCATGGGCAAACAACAATCGATCTCTGGTTTGAACAATAAGTTTTCAATGAATCCAAATAGTGGGGCAACATCATCACGAATTACATCTCATCATAATGATTTAACAGGAGGAGGTAGTGGAGGAACAAGTCGACACAGTGGTAAGTTAGTTTTTCATTATCCATATTTCTTTTGTCAAGCATCAAATTAAATTCTTACATACAAAAGAAAAAAACACATTTTTCTCGTTGAAATCAAGGTATTTTTCTGCATAATTTTAGCTGACTTTGCACTGAATACAATTCCTGGTGGAAGTGGTAACATAGGTGCGAATGAGAGTAATAATTTTCTTCCATGGCATACATCGTCACATTCATCCTTGGCTGCTGCTCTGCAAATGAATTCCTTACCATTAGGGTAAACGTCACACATTTGTCGACTTATTACAGTAGTTCATAATCAATATGCCTATTTTTGTCTAGAATGATGAATTATGATATGCAACAAGCACTCTGTGGTCCTCCATCGACAACGAATAACAATAATTCTGCTCGTGGTAGTCCACACTTGTACCATCAACCAACTCATCATCATCCACAACAATTGTTACACTTATCTCAACAACAACAACAGCAGCAGCAACAACAACACCAGAATCGTTTGAAAACCGAGCCTTTTTCGCCGTCGTTGTCCCTTGGCACCGGAAACACTCGTTCATTAACATTAGAAAGCAACTCGAATTCGAGCCCTTCTCAACAACATCAAGTACCACGATCTGCTGACTACACACAATCGACGTCACATTCGGAACCTTCGCTTAAACACGCTCGTTTTGATCATACGATTTGGCCAAATACAACTTGAGTAGAGAGAAATCCAGTTGATTCGCATCGAATTATATTCCTCAAAAGTTTGCTCAAAACTCATAACGAAACAAACTATTAAGCAAGGAGAATCGATTTTAATTAACTAAGCTGAAGAACAGTGGAACTCCTGTCGATTCGATGGGCGTATGACGCTCTTTCCCATTCATCTATTCAGTAGTTTTTCCTATTTTGTCCTTCGCCGACAGGAACTCTTCTTTGCTCATCATCCTACTCAATTGTTGAATAATGAATGATTATATCTATCTTTACTTTCTCTCTCTCTCTTCTCATGCTGTTCTTTTTCTCTGTCTCTCTCCAATGTACTTAAATATGTGAATACCGGTGTATGTATTTGTGTGTCTGACTGTTGTTCTTTTATTTTCATTGAAACTATTTGTTTTTCTTTTCTTTCTCTTTGCTTCGGTGTTACACAACAATGATGATGTTATTTTTCGGTTCTTGTCGTTTTCCTTTCGATTAAAGTTCTTTTTTTTTGTACATGTATATGTAGAAGAAAACGACGCACCTGCACAGTGATGATGAAGATTCTCCCACTAGGTGATGTTTTTCTTTATTTGGTCAATTTCTTTCTTGTTTTGTTTTCATTTCAATGTATGTCTGATCGACGACACTCAGCCCATGTGAACAAAATACGTTTATCACCAAAATAAATCATCTTTTATTTGTTTCTCTTCAACTGATTACTGTCTCTAAGTCCTACGACTATTCTTTTCTATAATTAACATCGAACATCACGAATAGATTTACTAAAATAGACAATCAGCTCTATTTATAGTTCAATGACTACGAAATGAGTGTGAAACACGCTTTAAAAATGAAAATGAGATAATAAAAAAATTATAGAATTTAAAATTATTCATCAGCTGAGATTTTCTTTATTAAAAATATCCATTTGGATTAATGTCGAATGCGAATTACGAAAGATTTTCTAATTGAATTATTGAAATTCTGAGTATAAAATGACATATCCACATGTTGAATTAGAGTAAATGAAGGTTAAATCACATACAATGCTCAAAAATATATTAGACGATGTTAATCAAATCTATATTTATCTTTTCTTGATAGAAAATAGGTTTAAATCTCATTTTGTCACGTTCCCTTCGAGGAAAATGAGCGTTCAGAACGCTTAAATCACAATGTTGCTAGACAGTAATTAAATTATGATTCAGGTACATTAGGGAATTTGTTCGTATGCTTCTGTTCTTTGCTTGATTCGCGCGGGAGACTTAAGTTTTGTGGAATGCAAGTAAGCTATTTGATAACTCTGTTGATTTTGGTGAGATAATATGCAAAAAATTTCATTAACATATAATCTTCATATTGACTGACAATAAGCAGTAACCTAGAAGAATATGGAATGGAATTAGCGTTTGAATATTATCTGCAAAGTACCTTGAAGTCGTTTACGCTTCCTTCTCGAATTGTGTGATGAACAGGTCAAAGTTTGCGATGTTTTTTTTAGAGAACATACTTTGTTTTCTAGGAGATTTCTCCGAGGATAAAAGATTAAAAGTAATAGAAAACGTGACAATCGTAACTTAATCGAACGATTAATTAATAGTTCAATTGATGTCGCATTCAATTGATTTATTTGAAAAAAAAAACAAACTTTTCTACGATATATACACGTATTTGATCGACTAATTTGATTAGAATGATACTTTTCCCAAAACACTGTCATTATTTGTTTGATTTCATACTGACAACTATATCAGCATCTTTCTTCTCTTGAGAATCAGATTGAGTGAAGCCGTTGTGTACATCAAGGACTAAGTTATGAACTTGTGATTGATTAAGTGACTTGTTCTCTGAAAGTTTTCTTCTCTGAAATAAATTATCAGAGGAAAGTGTACCGTTGAACTGATTTGTAATTAAAACTAAAAATCATATTGCATAACTATTGTTGGAATGATCTACTAAAAAACTTTACCGATCAAACCAATAAGAATAATAGTCAGCATGATTAATCGAAAGATTCGTAGAGTAAACATCCGGAACTAAATCGTTAGATTGTACTTGAATGATATCTTGTTGATGTATTCATGATACACATAGACAATACTCAATTCACCAATAGAATAGCAAGAGAAAAGTTATTCTTGGAAATAGGAGAACCGATAGTATACATATCTAAATATTTCTTTCTGTGTTTGATGGTAGCGCTAATGTTATTACCAGTTGTATGTCATACGCACAACACGAGAGTTCTACAATCACTTATAGAGATGTCTTCGACGTTTTGTATGTGACGCTTGTTTCGTAAGCGAGATTGTCATATGATAAGACTAGGTATTCAACAGTATTGATTTTAATCTGATGATAGAAATCGAAAGCAATTTTATCGGTCTAATGAGAAAATGGCATGTTAAATGACGTTTAAAATGAATCGTTTTGATGCCTATGGAAACAATTGATAGGCGTAGAAACGATTACTCATCTACCAAAATTATTCTCTTTTCTTTCAAATTTCAGTTGAATAAACTAAGTATCAATTCTGTTCCTGTAGCAATGTCAGATATAAATACAAATATGGAAGAAGAAATAATCACAAATGATATGAAATCTTCGTCTTTGTCTAATTCAAGTCTTATGGAATTTTTTTTTTTAACAATGAACGTCTTTTCTTTCAGCATTGGTTTTTATCCTAACAATTTTATAGTCTGAAGAAGAGCTACCGTTTCCACGTCCACAATATACATCTTTAGCCGCAGCAACAAGTCTCAATGTTACTCCCTCACATTTATCCACATCATCTCGAACAGAAAATGAATTCAATGGTAAGAATCTTGCAATCTTAATGTTTACTTTGATACTTTGCGTGGTATTTCATGTATTTCTTTATTTAGAAATAGTATTACCGTATCCATTACGTTTAGAAAAAGATTATCTTTATGAAATTGGATTAAATCCAGATGAATTCATCGATTATTGTCGATCGCAACAAATGAAATTCATGTTCGATAGTCCAATGGATATAATGAATCATTTTATTCAACATCGCTTGAAACAAGGATTAGATATAGGTTTAAATGATGAATGTTTAAACCATTTGAATAATGTCCAGGTCAACAAATCCGATGCTGGATCCGATCGGATCTTACCGGATCCGACCATCTGACAAAATCCGATCGGATTCCTGGAAACGGAATTGCATTGGAATCCGACTAGAAAAATTCCGTCGGTTGTTGCAAATTTTATGAGCGATCTTTCTAGCTATATTCTATGATGGCCCTTAGA